AGATTAAACCTGTGATTAAACCCAAGTGTGTGTGTGATTCCAGGAGCCCTGGTGGCACAGTCACTAAGGTTAGCCAAAAGGTCATCAGTTCCAATCCACCCACAGCTTCTTGGTTGGAAGATGTGGCAGGATCATGAACAACTATGGGAATGCAAATGGCACTGTTGTTGTTGTTATGTGCCCCGGTGGAGTTGGTTCCAACTCATAGCACCCCTGAACAGGGTTTCCAAGGCTGTAAATCTTTCCAGAAGCAGAAAGCCGTATCTTTCTCTGCAGAACAGTTGGTAGTTTCCAACTGCTAACCTGTGGTTGGCAGCCTGACTCGTAACCACTACGCTACCAGAGCTTCTTAAAGGTTTACTGAATAGCATATGGATAACCAGAATATGAAGTCCCTGGGTAGTGCAATTGGTTAAGTATTTGAATAGGAGCCAAAAGGTTGGGGATTTAAATCCACTCCTGGATGCTTTGGAAGACAGGCCTGGGGCTCTAGTTCCCAATGGTCACAACCTTTGAACACTCTATGGAGCTGTTCTACTCAGCACACACAGGGTGTCCAGGAATCAGAATCATCTTGACTACAACTAACAACAACCAGACTGTAGGCAAAGCATGTTATTGTCTGTTACCTGGTTTAGAGGAATTCATAGAAGGTCCTTCTACTTCCTGAAATGCTGCCAATCACTGATTTAGAGTTCTCGTTAAAAGCAAAACCCCTAGAAGGAAGAATGGATGCATAGGCAGATGTGCAGGTGGGTGGACAGATTGAAAGATCGACTGACAGAGATTTAGAAAGATAGAGAAGAATATCATGCTTGGTAAAGTGGAGGATTGGCGAGGAAGACCCCAAAGAGATGGACTGTCACAGTGGCAGCAGCAATGGCTCAGATGTAAGAGTCATTGAGAGGGTGGCTCAGGATCGGGCAATGTTTTCTTCTAATGTGCAGTAGGTTGCTATCATAGGAACTGACTCGATGGCTCCTAACAATAACATTGGTCACGTTTTAATTTTCAAATCTCTTCTTGATGTCCTTACCCCAAGCACTTGGGATTGAAAAAAAAAAAAATCCAAAGAACTGGTTTTTTTTGTAGAAAAAGGAAGACCAAACATACTTGGCTTATGAACACAAGAGACCAGACATATTAACCTGTCACAGAAGTCAGGGAACTGCTGGGTTCTTTAATATCTTACCAAATGGCTAATGTGCTTTGGTTTTACAAAGCCCTTTCAAACACATCATCTCAATTAATATTTACAATAACCCTAACTCTTCTCCCCACTTTAGGATTGAGAAAACCATGCCAACTGGACCACACAATGTTAAATCCCCATTCATCTTCCTCTTAGTCAATAGCTACTCCACATTCTTCTTGTGGTGATGCAGAAACAGCAGATGTCCACCAGAGGGCAGCAGAGTACAAACAGAGCAAAGGAACCAAGAGAGACTGGCCCACAATGATGTTATTTTCCCTACAGTCCCACTCTGGAGCAGTTCTGAAGAGGGAAAATTCAGGCAAGGAAATATCTATGAAGAAACAGCATAATGTCATAGACATAATAAGCCCTTTGGCTAAACCTAGAGTCCACTCTTGAGTCCTGCCTCATGCCAGTTCTGTGACCCTGAAAACATTTCCTAACATCTTTAAACATTTGTTTTCTCATTTCTAAAATGGAGACCATCATTTCTACCTAATAGGGGTATTACTGAGAATCAAGTGAGATAATTGCATAAAGCACACACCACAGTGGTGGGACTTGGCTTGTTCCTGGGAAATTATTGTTGCTAAGAACTGTCTAGGAGGTTCCAATTTATAGAGATCCTGTATAGGGTTT